CTGGGACAGGCCCTGGCACTGGGATCCATGAACTGGGACAGGCCCTGGCACTGGGATCCATGAACTGGGACAGGCCCTGGCACTGGGATCCATGAACTGGGACAGGCCCTGGCACTGGGATCCATGTCCATGTACTGGGACAGGTCCCCCATCCTGGGGGGCTCCTGCTTTATGAAATTTGGGAACAGATCCTGATTCCTCAACTCCACACTTCCACCGCGATGGATCCTTTGCTGTTTTTCCTCCTTCTTCCCTCAGGATTATCCCAAAAACTCCGGAGGCAGAGCCAGGGGGTTCAACTCTACCTTTATTTTCCGTCTGGGGCCCCGCAGGGTTCTGGCAGCAGGAAGGGTCAGGAGGGGAGGGCTGGCAGCCATGGTGCCAATTCCCCCCGGGAAGGGGGATCCGGAGGGGCGGCGGCAGCGGCATTGCCCGGCTACTCTCTGGGAAGGAGGGAAAATTCGGGATGAGCCCAAATCGGGATGAGCTGGGAGGGGTTTTTGGGAAGTCTCAAAGGACTCACATGGCGTTCTCCTTGAAGTGCTGCAGCGCCTGCTGGGCCACGCTCTCCATGAAGCGGGGGTCGTCCCAGGGGATGTCCCCGGGCACGGTCAGCGCCAGCGGCTCCGAGTCGAAGAGCTGCACCGTCACCTGCGTGTCCGGCGGCGACGACGGATCCTCGGGATTCGGAGCCTTGGACAGCACCTGGAACGGCCACGCCGGGGTCATCCCACGGCAGATTCTGAGTTTGTGAAGTCGGAGCGGCCGCGGGAGAGCCCCGGGAGGGCCCCTGACCTTGGCTCCCGGCCCATCCCGGCATCCGGCACAGCAGAGAGATTCCCGGCCGGAGCACAAAGGGCCCTTTGTGGCCCTGTCCCACTTTCTGCCTCCCCAGTTCCCAGCCCCGTTCCCGGCCCCAGTCCCAGCTCCAATGCTCACCGTGGTGACCTGCAGGAAGCCGTCGGATCCCATGGAATGGTTGGCCAGGCGGGACACCCAGCCGAACTGGCGGTTCAGCTGGTCCAGCAGGCCGGAGGTGTTGAGCATTTCCTCCTGGAATTCCCGGAGCAGGGAATCGTAGCGGCTCGTGAAGCGCTCGGCCACGCGCACGGCGTCCTCCAGCTGCTCCCGCAGCTCCTGCTGCGAGGGATCCTCCTGCCCGCAGTCTGGGATGGGATGGGATGGGATGGGATGGGGTCAGCACAGCCCTGGGGGTTCGTCCCATCCCATCCCATCCCATCCCATCCCATCCCATCCATCCCATCCCATCCCGTCCTGTCCCATCCCATCCTATCCCATCTATCCTGTCCCGTTCTGTCCCATCCCATCCCCTCAGACCCCAAAATGCACCCCAAACCCCCCCAACCCACCCCATGCACCCCAAACCCTGAACTCTGCCCGCCATCCCCAGTCCAATCCCCATCCCTGTTCCTGTTCACATCCCCATTCAAATCCCTATTCCCATTCCCATCCCCATTTCTATCCCTGTCATCATTCCCATTCCCACTCCACTCTCATCCCCCTCCCCATCCCCGTTCCCATTCCCATTCCCGTCCCCATCCCGGTTCCTGTCGCCATTCCCAGTTTTCCATTCTCTTTTCCCATCCCCGTCCCCCTTCCCATCCCCATTCCCACCCCCATTCCCACTCCCATTTCCCATCCCCAGTTCCCGTTCCCACCCCCATTCCCATTCCACATCGGCTTGAATCCCAAAAAAACAAACAGCAAAAAAAAACATTGGCTGTAATCCCAAAAAAAACAAACACCAAAAAAAAACATCGGCTGTAATCCCAAAAAAAAAACCAATCACCAAAAAAACATCGGCTGTAATCCCCAAAAAAAAAAAAACCAGCAAAAAAACATCATCAGCAATCCCAAAAAACAACTTAACACCTGCAATATCCCCCAAAAACACCACCCGCAATATTCCTTAAAAAAATACTGCATATTTCCGAAGAACCCAAACACCTGTAACATTCCCTCCAAAAAAATCAGCAGCATTCCCAGAAAAAACAAGGATTTGCAACATTCCCAAGAAAACCATCAGCAGCATTCCCAGAAAAACCAAACACCCACAACATTCCCAACAAAACCCCATTCCCGTGATGGCAGCTGGGATCAAGGTGGGACAACACCCCAAATCCCAGCCCACCACCAGCAGAGCTCCTGATTCCCAGGTTTCCATGGGAATTCCCTTTAGGGAATCCTCCGAATCCTCCAAAGTTGCAAAGGATTTTCTGGGAATCTTTTCTCAGAATCCTCAGAAGTTTCGAGGACTTTCTGGGAATCTTTTTTCAGAATTCTCCAAATCCTCCAAAGTTGCAAAGGATTTTCTGGGAATCTTTTCTCAGAATCCTCAGAAATTCCAAGGGATTTTCTGGGAATCTTTTCTCAGAATCCTCAGAAATTCCAAGGATTTTCTGGGAATCTTTTCTCAGAATCCTCAGAAGTTCCAAAGGATTTTCTGGGAATCTTTTCTCAGAATCCTCCAAAGTTGCAAAGGATTTTCTGGGAATCTTTTCTCAGAATCCTC